GTACGAACCACATCCACACCTTTTCGTTTGTGGCAGTGGTCACCGGCTCGATTGGGCATTGAGGTGTATTGGGCACCTTGGACGTTTGACCTCGTCCAATGATCAGAAGAACCGGACACCGGCTACCAATGGATTACGGTTTTCGCACACCGCCCTGCTGCCTTGCGGGTCAGGCTTTGGCTAGCCGAAGTCTCCGGTTGTGGATTCCTCAAGAAAATTCACCAACTTTGGCCTGGACAACCTGGCAGAACTGAGCCCACAAGCCAATCATGGAACATTTTCCTTTTTATAAAGATTATTGTACCATGATTTGTTTGGCACACAGTCTATCCCCAGACAAGTGTGAAATATAATAATAATAATAATAGTCCCAGACACCCACTCCCGACCATCTTGAGGCTTTCGGTGGATAGTGAAATAGCGTGCAGCGAATTAGTCTGATGATCAACATTTTCGTAACAAGTGCGATGATTTTGAGTCAACCTAGGGATCAGGTGATGAAGGTTTTGCATTTCTTTTTTGTACAATCAGGTAGCTGGCAAAAACTGAGCATAATCATAGCATTAGTTAGTTCCGATAGACTGTGCACTTCACAGATTTACATTACTGAGATATGTGCTGCCCCGGAAGACGTGAATTCAACTACAGCTACGCACGATGTGAATTCGCTGTGCTTTAGATATTACAGTCCAAAGTTTATTCAGGTCCTGTATGAGCTATTCGCATGCCACGACGCAAGTAAGATGTTGGAGTTACCTAGATTTTTAGGCAGATAGCCGAGGCTGAGTCATCCCGCACCAGACAATGTCTCACTGGCACAAATGTGGGGTATTTTGAATAGACAGAGAATAGTGGACTGCAATACCTATCTATCTGAATATCGAAAAGGCGTATCACAACTGCACGTGACCCGCGATTCATTATAGTCAGCTGCGCATAAGGATGTACCGATCTTTACGGATCAGCCTTACACACCGATGAAAGGGTAACTGAAATTGATGTTTAAAAATCATAATGTGGAGATCGGAACCTGATGTTTAAACTGTGATTTTTCCGGCTTGCCTTATACAGAAATGTCGATTGCCGTACAACCTCAAATTGTTCTACATTTTGTTGTGTACAAATGTTTTATCCTTGTTCAGAATCAGAACAGGCGCATACGCCCTGAGATTGTGATAACCTGAACTCAAACGCGTACCCACAGAAAACCCAATGAAATGGGACATTGCTAGAAGTAGTGTTATTGAAATCCAGTGAACATTACTCGTTTCCTAACACAAGTAGCACTTCGGAAAACGATGTTCCATGCATTCGTTCCGTCGTTGTACTCCAGCCTCAAACATGTGAAACCGCTTGATTGTTACAAATAATTTTGCCACCACTGATGTCTCATGCCCACATTTGTAGACGAAACTTCATTTAGTCGCTCGCAGGATAGGGACCGATCTTATTTTACGTCAATGCCACCGAAGCATCGCCCATTAACGTAGCGCTTTCTGATGCTAATCCGTCATCCAGCGAATCCTCATCACTTTTCGCATATGAAAACAACAGTTTCCCACCATTCGTGCACCACCTGAAACGGGAATGGCATACATTTGTTTGAACGATCGTACCGGTATAAAGCGAATTCACCGTAAGTATAGAAATATTTTTTATTGTATCCTCTCTTTCGGCACAAAAGATCGACCACCACAAGATGGACAGTGACATGAACCGGGTTAGTTGTTTCGTTTTATCAACCTGGATGTTGTATATTGGGTGCAGCGCTTTCGACATGCAAACGGTGGACTTTCTGAACTCCATAAACGAATAGCCCGATAAATCACTTCCTGGTCTTAAGCAGTCATTCCAACCGAAACGATTCGGATACCGAACGCTTGTTTCTTCGCATATGTGAAAGGTGGAAAAATGATATGCTGGTATGTGGGTCACGCAGGTGAGTGAGCACTGTTAACAAAAGTCACAGTCTAATTAAAGCTAGAGTATTGTGGATACAATCCTAGGCGATGTAACACATTCGTGTGCGATTTGTCCCCATGGCATGCAGCACTCGTCTTTTTCTACCGACATTTTGGCTGCTCAGGTTCAAGGTGTGCCGTAGTTATTTTCTTTTTTTGTTAAGCACTTTGGGCAAACGGTTTTGATAAAATGAAATGACCTTTGTACTCGTTCGAATGCCAGAACATGGAAAAGACAAACCAAATAAGTTAACCACTGGTCACTTCTCAAGAATACTCTGCATTCCGCTGGCTTGTTTAGTTGTGGTCTGACACGTCGCACCGTGACACCCTAGATCTCTGAAGAGTCTCTTCAACTTCTTGACGCACGTCGGCCGATTCCGATCGGCAGGGAGCATAATGAAACGACTCGCTACAAGACGTGAACTTAATGCAAGCCCACGCAATGTGTTTTCCCCATCTTACTCTAGTGTTCCCCGGTTATTTTTCCTGGTTTACTCAAACAGGATTTCAAAGCCTTTACGTCGCGGTCTAACCATTATTAGTCGTGTCTCTTCCATTCCTGTGAATGAATTAGCTGTAAAGCTTTCCGAGTATCACGTAAATTCCTGTGAAATTTGCTGAGAGGATTCTCACAGATCTGGACCACCCATTGCATGCAGAACTGACAGGACGTCATTCCCATCATTCAACACACTCCCGATTCCGCCAAATTTCATCTCAAATTATTGCATACCGCAATTCACCCGTACCGTATCTTGCTCGTCTACTCACAAACAAAGAGTGAACAATAAATGAACTTTGTCTTAACCTTGGATTATGAATGCCCTCATGCCTGCGAAAACTTTTCTCCCCGTTGATTACGTACATTGTGACGGTTAGCATGTATGATATTTTAACTGAAATGAGAGCTCCAGTGCTTGCAAAAGTTATACACAATATATATACAATACAAGACCGCGAAATCTGGTGGACACAACGCACGTTAGAGATGGAACGTGCTGCCGCCATGGGTAATCTCCGTACGCTGTTCCATCTTATCCGGGTCACCGGCAGGAAAGCCTTGGGTGTGAGCGAAACGATCTGCGAAACTGACGGTTCGCCCGTTCATAACCAACAGCGACACCTTGCACGCTGGGCGGCGCACTTCAAAGCACAATTTAGCTGGCCACCAGTGTCAGCTTCTCACAGCTACTTTGACACGCGTCGAATGGTCTGTCCTAATAGACCCACACTCAGGCGGAAATTCGTAAGGAGATCCAAGCCTTGGGACATCACAAAGCGCCGGGATCCGATGGCCTTCCCCCAGTTCTATTTAATGATGGTGGAATAAAGCTTGCAAGAGAACTACAAGTAACGTTCTCTAAAGTTTGGAACACTGAACAAGTCCCCTACTCGCGGGAGGAATCGATTGTGGACTCCATCTTCAAAAAGGGCCAATAATAGGGGTGTAAGCATCAAAGCCGTTGGCATCGTCATTCTCCGCCGATTGCACACTATGCGTGAGGAGCAGGTTGGGTTTCGTGCCGGTTGTGGGTGCATCGATCAGAGCTTCACTCTCCGACAGCTGCTAGAGCACCGTCATGCCTATCAAAGACCAAAGATTTTTGTATTTTTAGACATCCGCGAGGCCTTCAACTCTGTCAATAGGACCGCATTATGGAACTGTTTGTTGAGGGATGAAGTTCCTGAGAAGTATGTGTCGATCCTCAAAGAGTTCTGTTGTCATACCTCAGGTAGGGTTAGGGTCTATGGCCAACGTTCACCACCCTTCGCCGTTTCAGCGGAGTTCGACAAGGCTGCCCTATATCCCCATTCCTTTTCCAACTTTGTCATAGAGGATGTTCTACAGAATGCTTTGTCGGGTCTAGCAAACGATGGAGTTGAAGTCCTCCCAGGTTACACAGTCCTTGACTTATAATATGCCGATGACATTGCCTTGCTGGGTGACAATGCACAGACAGTCCAAGAGGCTTTGAACCACTTGGCGATTGAAGAATCCAGATACGGAGTGCTCTGCATCATCCAAGTGCAAAGCGCTTGTTCAAGACTGGCAGGAGCCCGTGCCAACACGCACGCTCTGTGGTGATCAGATGGAAGTAGTCGATAGCTTTAAGTACCTCGGGAGCTTGATCGCAGCTGGTGGTAGTGTTAGGGAAAGAGATCACATCACGAATAACGAAAACTAGAGCAGCTTCGCCAATCCACAACACCTGTGGCGCCGCCACATCTGCCTCTTAAGGGAAGGGTGAACATCGCCGAGGTTCGTAGCGTTCTCCTTTACAGTCGAGACCTGACCTCTCCGCATTGAGAATGCTAAACGATTTTCTGTATTCACCCACCGATGTCTCCGAAGCATTGCTCATGTCTGGTGGGAACACCGGGTGAGCAATGACGAGGTCCGTCGTCGTGTGTTGGGTGCGGATAGTCGTTCTCTGACAGACGTAATTGCTCTACACCGCCTCCGATAGCTTGGTGACGTATTGTATATGCCTGTCCATCGACTACCTTTCCGTGCTCTCTTCGCACGTGCCAGGCAAGGCTGGAAGAAGCGGCGCGGTGGTCAGACCGTACCATGACGTAGAAGTATGAAGAAGCTGGTTTCAGCTTTGGCTTCGGTTGGCGCAGCCCCCTTTCCAGATTGGGGCCCAAGGGATGAGGACTATCGTTGATTAGAGACACTGAGAGATATGGCCCAGAAAAGAAGACAGTGGTGCGAATTCTGTACGGTCTGTCCGTCGAAATCCCGTGCCCCATAAAAAATTGCAAAAGGTTTATGGTGGAATATACAAAAGCATTTTGTTATCCCAGTTATCTACCATTTTCTATTTTAAACGTTCCACCTTCTTCCCACTGCTCTGTATTCCAACCCACCTGCCCCATTTTATTGTTATTGTTATTAGTGTTTTGGTGTTGGCACCATGATTGTCTACAAGCCGGTGTAAATTTGTATAGAATGTTAAAATAAAGACAATGTTGTCACTATTTCATCCCTCGAAACAGCGGAGTGATATCCAGCGTTCACACACAAACACGTACCTTGATTTTGGCCAGGTTTTTTCACAGTAAGCACAATAGCCTCTTGACCACAATTACATACTACGGCATCGGACTGGGATGAGCTAGCGGTCCAATCAGTTGGTGTAGAGAATCCCAAATCATTGCTAGTGGTTGTTGGTGAACCGAAGACCGGTGCGGTGAATGTGGAGAACGACCGTGCGGAACCAGCATTCACGGGAGAACTCAAACGACCACCAACAGCGGTTCTTGAACCAGAGGATCGTGGTGAACTCGGACCGGATGGAGCAGATAGTTNGATAGTTCGTGCGCCGGACGGTTTACACTCTGCGGATCATTGGATAAGGGCTGAACGAAGGCTAGGCGAATGTTTAAACACGTTCTGAAGTCCTCATCACAGAAAATGCACGTGACATATCTGACGGTGATTTCGGAAAGAGATAAGAGGAATGGAGACGACCACAATCAACAGGGATAGATAGGACGAAGTTACATCAACTAAGGGTGAACGAAAGGAGGAACAACGATTGTTTAGGAGAAAAGATATCAGACTGGCTGCCCGTAATCAACCGAGGACGTACCAGGCCTCAGTCAGACCGTCAAACCGAGCCGCGACTCAATGTTGAACTCCAATAATAGAAAACATCAGGAAAATTATGACTCATAGGGAAGCCTCCAAGACAATAAAGCCAGCATACTGATAAGAAAAAAGTACTTGTCGTGCAGTAAGTGGGAGAATGTGTGCAATCAGCGAACTTACCGTATACCTCAGGTCAAGTGGTCATTCAAATGATATCGCATCGAGGTTGTGCACATCCGATACTTGTACCTGCAGTTCTGAAAACGTCCCGTGTGCACATAGAAAACAAGTCAAAATAGCGATTCGGGCCAGACTGGTAGCTTCTTATAGGCCGGAAATTTCCAGTCCGGCAAGGCCAACCTCATTTGCAGCTCAGAGAGTGGATTTGAGACGAACAAGTCTCGAAGAATCACTGCAATAATTCTGTATCTGTATATTTTCAGGTATGTTACGTTTGCATGAATTAGGAAGAGGTGAATGAATTGGTCAATCAATATCAGGACCACGCAACTGAGGGTATTGTATTGTATTGCAGCTTTGGCGAGTTATTTACAAACTGTCAGGGTTCGAATACCGAGTAATTTGTGGGTGGTCACATACCCAGGTGTAAATACACCGGCATTCATAAACAGTGTACTCCCGAAAAAGGTCACTTTCTCGCAGTGCGAACTTATCGTCCCAATCTAGACCAACCAAAACCTGGGTCCCCTCTTTGAGCGAACAAGGCCCTCAAAGCGCTTGTTTACACACCAACGGAGAACATCACTTGATAACAGGCTAAAGGTAACTCGTGGTTCCTCTTACTACCATTACAAATTCGCACAGGAATAAAGCTTTCGTGAAGTTGATGGTATCCTAATTCACTTGAAAGAGAGAACGCAAGATCAATTATCACTAACATTATAATACAACAAGATACAGTGAAGCGCACTTCGATGATCGCTGCCAAGCTCACATTGTACACCAACCGCGTGATAAAGCATAAAGCTCTCAGTGTCAACACATTACATGAGAAAGTGCAAAATCGATAGGGACCTAACTGGAGGGGGGCAAATAAAGTGAACCTCTATGGTCAACACACGGAGTACACAATCTAAGTATGTATACATAAATCTTCAAGCATTCTAACCTGATAAGAAACGACAAAAAAGCCACTGTCATCGGTTAGTTGCCGTATCCTTCAGTGTCCCCAACCAGCCAGTTACAGAGTCTATTGGACCCCAACCTGGAAGACGGGAAACACCTATTCTACCTAATCGCTAGGTGCATTTCTTCATGCCTCGTTTTTACGTCATCTGCTGCCTAAGTAGAAGAAACATTCCCCTGTAACTAATTCTTGACTATCAAACATCAGAATCTGGTAGAGGATACAAAATTTTGTAGCATCACTCTGCATTTTGAAGGTGCAAAGCTCATGCCGAAAGGCGGTACGAAACCTAAGATTGTGTCAAGTGCACTTTGGACATCCTCAATACATTCAAACAGACAAACGGCGTTGGCAGCGTACTCGTACAGCTTTTCTCCAGCTGTCTATTTGGTTTGTGTATCCATTGGAGCGCAAGTTCATGAGATTGTGAAAAAGGGTCTAGCATCTAAACCGACAGAGAGAGATCCCGCTGCGAGATCCCGGAGTACGTTCGCCTTACACTTATAGTCACTGATGTTATCTGCACCGTCAGACGATAACAGGGAGCGTATTGAAGACTCAGTGATGTGCGTATTGTAGAGTGGCCAAGCCAACAAAAGGGACAGCTGGGTGATACCGGAAGTTTGTCAAGCGACAAAAACCACCATCCCCACAGAAAGCATTTTCAAGGTATATGGATTCTCAAGACTTATCCTCTTGTTTTAATCATAAATTGGGCTATTACTTTCACGTTCTTGTAAGAGCGAACACTCGTCGCAAAGCAAACAAATATGGATCGTAGCAACGTTTCTCACTGGTGGATGAGTAGGTACTGAATGCCATCAGTGAATTTGTGCATGAGACAAAACATGACTTTCCCCGGTCTTTGAATCATATTGCAGCCCCACAGGTGGCTGCTAACCCTTGCCCAAAATTGTTCCTACGATTATACAGTCAGTAACAAACAATTAAAGACAAGAAAATAGAGTGCGATAGGGGTGTTTGACTTGAGCTTTGACTGCTTAACCGTTCTCGGACACCTCAAAAAATACTCCTATCCGACTAAATGCATCAAATCGCCGCTACTGAATAAGGCATACTTACAGTCTTCACGTAGCGGAGGTGCTTTCCTACCAAAGTGAGAAAAGTCAGCGCCCGAAGCTATGATCTGACTGCTTACATCCGAGAGAGGGATAAATCCCTGATTCCAAATCTGAGGCGTAGAAACCACACACATCTTCCTGGTTGTAGTAGTGGTCACCGACTTGATTGGTCATCGAGGAATACTGGGCACCTAGGACGTTTGATTCCATTCAAATGGCGTATGATCCAAAAAACCGGATAAAGTCTAGCAATAGTTCGCATTTTTCAAAAACCGCCCATGTGCTTTGCAGCCCAAGCTTTGGCTGACCGAAGGATCCTGTTGGAAATACCTAAAAACACTCAGATGCTTTGGTTTGCGCAACCTGACAGTAATCCAACCACGTGCAAGTCATGGACAAAGTTCTTCGCTATCAAGGGCGGTACCGTGATTTGTTGAGCATACCTTATGGACTCAGAAATGTGTGAATGTGATAACCATGTTATAATGAAGATGAATGTGGCCGTCCGACTAACACTCACTCTTTTGCTGTGTCGTCCTGTACATATCCGTTCGGTAAGCGCATGTTTCGCCGTAATCGGAATGCCAATTTCAACGGACCCCGAGGTGAATTCCCGGAACGATTCACATCAGTTGCAGTGATAGCAAAAGATTGACAACGGGGACATGTGAGTGGAACGGAAGGGTTTGAGTCTGGAGCTGGCCGGACCGAAACAACGGAGTCAGGAAACCAGACTGCAAATCTGCACAACGGATAGCCTGTGCAGGACAAGAACCATGATGTGGATGCCGTCGACGTCTCCGAAACGACTGAGGAGGCACTGTGATAACAAGGGAATGAAAGTAAGAAATCGAACATTAAATGATTATATAAAATATGGATGAAATATGTTTGGAATAGACCCCTCTCATAAATGTCCTGGAACTTGGCAGCTGAGATTTTCCATCCTGGGACGAAAGAGGACGCGACAGAGGGATCAACGCGAACAACGCCAACAGGTCCGATACGTAACTTCATATGATGATATTGCGAAGTACACAACAGGCGAATCTCCTACATCTCTACTGAATAATCAGATCGTCGCGATGGTGGACCAAATTTGTCCTTGATCTACTGATAATTAATTCGGCATTCCTAAATTGGATTACCTAAATTGATAGCATAGATATATAGCTGCAGTGAAATTCCTATGGAAACATTGTGTAAACTGATATTTTTGGCTTTTTATCCAAAAACAGTCATTAAACAAGTTCAGTCCAACCAAGGGTAGGATATGAAAACGCTCAGGTAGGGACAAAAAGATGACATGTCAAGAGTCCAAACTGAGCAGTCATTGGGGAACAATGGCGGAAGACACATCAACCGAATATACGTCATCCCAGCAGATTGTGAAGCCACGAATAAACCGATGACTACCTGATACGTTCACTTTGATTGGTATTCACTTCAGTCAAAGGTTGCTGTTGACTTGGACGACGCTGTCGGATAAGAACCATCCGTCCGCAGGATGGACAACCCGCGACAGGCTGGTTCGAGATAGCATTCGGATGGGATTGTGCCTGATGTGAGAACGAAGCCATCTCACCCATACTACCAGTCATCCCTAAAGTAAGAGAGAGACAGCGAAAATTGATAAGAAATAGCTGTTGTTAAAAAATCAGCAAAATGCTTGTCTATTTAAACTGAGAGCCATGAACATGGAGGCACTATTCCACGGCGGAGAGAACAATGTTGTTCGATCCAAGCATTAGCGTCATTTTTCTGTGTCTGATTCTGCTTCGATTGATTATGATTAAATGA